GTAATTACCGGACTATGACCGGTAAAATATGCTGAAGAGCGGCAAATCTAAATCTCTTCGGTCAAAATCATTTCCGTTTAGCGCAATACCGCATCAGTTGCACGACTTATGTGACAGACAAGAATAGTCCATTCTAATGTGTCACACTTAATGTGGAGAAAGAGATGTGCTGTTTGGGTTGATTGTGCGTTGATCTGTTGGTAATGCCTCGGGGTTCCGGTAGGCATGTAAACAAATGCATAATGCTGCGCTATACTTTGTGGCCTCACCCGGTTGCATAGCGACACTTATTGTTTAGGTCACGGTGTCTTTTAATAAGCAGGTAGTCATGTCATTAGCTAGAACTAGCTGGATCTGATCGATATGGACATAAACGCGAGTGAAGTCTAATCTGACGGGAGAGAGAGAGATCAGCTGCTGCTGACGAGTCGACACGCAACTCTGCATGATCACATGCAGCGGTGAGCGGACAAAACACACACTTCAGGTTAGAATATCACACGTAGCTATTTTAATCACCTCTCAAACTACCTAAACTAGTTATAGATATGTTTAGTTTTACTGTCGGGTCACTCATTACTGGATCCGCGAGCTGCATGATACTGGTATAATAGATTGCCCGATCGGGCAACCAGCAGGTGAGGCTTCCGGGCCATCGGGCAGCTCCTTAATGTCGAGCCCTGGTGTGTGTGTGTGTGTGTGTGTGTGTGTGTGTGTGTGTGTGTGTGTGTGTGTGTGTGTGTGTGTGTGTGTGTGTGTGTGTGTGTGTGTGTGTGTCCCAACTACACATTGTGTTTCTGTTTAAACCAAAACATTGCAGCATATTTGCTTACGATGTTTGCGACGTGTTTTTTTGCAGGACGTTTTCTCACGTTCTAAACACATCGTGCTAAGCTAGTGTTAGCCGTCTTAGCATCATTTAGCCGTCCTTCAGGAAGCGGCAGAAGACTGGAGGACAGAATGTCCTGATAAATGATGATCCAGTTTCAGCGTAAAGACTCAGCACTCCAGAAGCACAGCTACTCTCATCCTTCAGAAGCGATTCAAAGATAACACTGATGTCTCTTTAAATGTGGATTGGAATCTCCTGAAGCTCCTTCCCTTCAGCTGGGACTCTGAAGAGTCTCTGTCCTGGTTGCTCTCTTCTGTCCTCAGTCCTGCAGCTTTTGGTCATTTCTTCTTCTATTTGTTCTGTCCATTGCAGGGAGCGCACGCCGGAAACTCACGTGCACGATCTGCAACAGGAAGTGCTCGTCCTCTCTGAACCTGCAGGAGCACAGGAAGGTGAGACTAATCTGATAAACTATCATGTCTCTGCAGTGTCCCTCTGTAATCTGGAGGCTGCTTTTCTCTTTCTTTGGACATTTAACCGCTCGGACTCTGAGACACTGGGATGGACTTCTTTTCAAACACCAGACCACGACTCCAGAAGACGACATGTATTCTCATCCTGATTCCTGAGTTTTGTTTCTAACACTGATATATTATACTATATTCTCAATATTTACTCAAATAATCATGAACCATTTCACGTCCTGATTCGTCGGCTGAGAGCAGAGAGAAGGCGTCTGGTATTGGAGTAAAGAATAAACTGATATAACGTGAATATCTTTGGACATTCGGAGCTCGGACTCTGAGACACTCGGATCGACAATGTCAAACATTTCCTGACTTTTTATTCGCCTAAAAAATATTAAATTGCAGCTTTAAAATATTTGTTTCTTTATGGATCCATCACTTATTGTTGTGTGCAGGCATTGGATTATTCTCTCCTCTGATTGGTTATCCTTCGTTTACTGACATTCCTCATGAATGATCTCTGCTGCTAATGACGACTTTCCATTTTCTCTCGTCATCATCCATCATCCAGATGAATCCAGTCTCCTCTAAACTCTTAGACGTGCAGACTCACCTGGACGTGTTTTATCAATCGTTTCCTGAATCATCCACAGTTTCAGTCCTGCTGATATTGGGCTTAGAATAGCAAAACAGATTTCCCATCATGCACCAGCCTGAGGTCTGAGCGGCACAGTGTGAATCCAGGTCAGCGTGATAGGATGTTTCTGCTCATGTAATGGAGTTGTTGAGATTAATTGAGTCCTCACAGAGTGTTATTACAGTAATACTGCGCTCCATCAGAGGCTCTGCAGACGTCCATAAAGCCGCTTAGCGCTCCGTTATTAAACTTTACATGTTCCTCTGAACATTAACATATCAGAGCCGCGGATATTCAGGCAATTACTGCAGCTGACGGAGACGAGAGGGAAATTTTAGCACTTTAATTACTTTCTGTCAGGCGGGGGGGGGACAAGCTTTACTTTCTGTTGATCCTTTAACTTTTAAACACTCTGAATTAAAGAGTCCTCTCCTGCTGATGTTCAGGTGTATATCAGTATGTAGTGTCTCTACTTTAAAGAGTCCTCTCCTGCTGATGTTCAGGTGTATATCAGTATGTAGTGTCTCTACTTTAAAGAGTCCTCTCCTGCTGATGTTCAGGTGTATATCAGTAT